GCTCGGTGGAGCTGGGCCTGGAGGAACGTCGTGGGAAGGGCCGCACGACCGATGAGCTGGAGCCCGGCACTGGCACCGTGGAGGATGGAGACGGGTCCGGGGATGGCGGCAGTGGGGTGGGGTCAGGCTCTGGGACCGGCGCGGTGCTGTCGCTGGGCGCCTGCTGCCTGGCCTTGCTGCAGATATTCCGCTCTAAGAAGTTCCCGTCGGACAAACTGGAGCGGCTGTACCAGCGCTACTTCTTCCGCCTGAACCAGAGCAGCCTCACCATGCTCATGGCCGTGCTGGTGCTCGTGTGCCTGGTCATGCTGGCCTTCCACGCGGCTCGGCCCCCGCTCCAGATACCCTACCTGGCCGTGTTGGCAGCTGCTGTGGGCGTGATCCTTATCATGGCCGTGCTCTGCAACCGTGCAGCCTTCCACCAGGACCACATGGGTCTGGCCTGCTATGCACTCATTGCGGTAGTGCTGGCCGTCCAGGTAGTGGGCCTGTTGCTGCCGCAGCCACGCAGTGCCTCCGAGGGCATCTGGTGGACCGTGTTCTTCATCTACACCATCTACACGCTGCTGCCTGTGCGCATGAGGGCCGCGGTGCTCAGCGGGGTGCTTCTGTCGGCCCTCCACCTGGCCATCTCTCTGCGCACCAACGCCCAGGACCAGTTTCTGCTGAAGCAGGTAGGAGCCCACCTGGCCACACTGGATTGAGGGTTGGGCAGGCCTCACCTGATTTTAGAGAAAAGGGTTCCAACCCACATCAGTTAAGAGTAGCAACAAGGCTTCAATGCCTATGTGCCTTCCAGGCCTACCTTCAGGCCTAGCCTCTTTATCCACTAAGGACCACATTTGTATGGCTTGTAATATGGTTGGTCTGGTAGAGGGCATGCTTCAAACTAGTCACAATTGCCAATTCAAGCGAGGAAAGAGGGTTGAAGGAAATCGCAGAGTCCCCGTTTTTCTCTCAGAACTTCTGGCCCTGTATACAGAAGGCTCCCAACAAAAATGGCGGGCCCTCTAGCAGCCAACCCCTTCCTGAGAACCACTATGGGTTTATTAGCTGGTTGTGGAAGGGAGACCCTGGACACCCCTTGGCCAGTCTTGGGGAGTCTGGTACCCTGCCCCTGAGGCTGGGCTCTTGGGAGCTGGAGAGATCTTGAAGGAGGATGATAGGTTTGTTTCCTTTCCCAAAGTGTCCCAAACCAAAAATCTGCCTTTAGCAAAGGTGAGAAGAAACTGCTGAGGTGTGTGTGGCGGCCGCCCCCTTTCTGGCTGTGCTGGACGTCATTATCTCTTCCAGTGGACACTCCCGGATGTTACTTTTGTGGGAACTTCATATTCCTAATGGGACTTGTTAGGCAAACCTAGAGCTGTGGACTCAGAAGGACATTAAGTTTATGATTCTCCGTTAACTGGTGACTCAGACTTGACCCTAGGGTGAGACAGTCTCGCTGATATCCACAGCATATTCTCTGTCCCAGCCTATGAGCTCTGCTGGACTTGTTTGTTTGAGCGTTGCTCAGTTGGAGAGTCAAGTGGGGTCTTGTGGCAGGCGAGTGTCTTGACTTTGGGACCCCACTGCGCACCCCTCCCCATGTCTTGACATCTATCTCTGTTAAGATCTCTGTTAAGAACCTCTTAACAGTATTCTGTTGTCTCTGCTGTCCTGCTTCTTTCTCTTCACTTAATTCTACCTTCTTCCCCAGACTTTGATCCTGTTGAATACTGGGGATGCTCTCCTGTGCCCTCTGGATGCATCCTCACCCACAGGAAATACCAGGCATAGGGGCTCTGGCTACCCTTCAGGGGACACTGTGACTGGGAGCAACCTCTCTGGGTCTCAGGTTTCTCTTCTAGAATATGGGACTGACTATGCCCCTCCCACTCCCAGCGTCCTCAGTGTGGAGCCTCATTGAGGATCCTCTCTCATAGCCACACTTGGCTTTCTCCCCTCTGCTTGGTTAGTACTAGACCCAGAGGCATGTTGAAGTGCCTGCTATTCTCTGGTACCATTGACTCTGATCCCTGTCCAGTGTGACCTCCTTGGAGTCCTGGGGTATTCAACTCTGTTTCTCCCTCCCTTTCTCCCCTCTCCCCAGAATACTTAAGTGGTGATTTAGTCACCTCTTGCAGCTTGGTTGGGGTCTAGTGAGTGGGCCAGGTCAAGTTGGTGGTGGCGGCAGCTTTTCCAGTCTGGCATCAGAAAGGGTGTGTGTGTGTGAATTAGAGATCAGCTTTGAACTTGCGAGAGATCTTTTGAGACAGGGTTGTTGTTTGAAAAACATTACTACTGTTGCTATGGAGCCACGCTCTCCGAAGGGGGCTGCGTCAGTGTAGGGTGGGAACGGCTTCTCTTTGGAAGGAAGGGCACTTGGTTCATGTGTGGCAGTGGAGGTTTTCCCGATAGCTCAAGGGGTTCATAGAACCAGACTTGGGAACTTGAGTTCTGACAATAATCTGAACATAGGTTCTTAGGAGATGGAGATAAACCCAAGGAAAGAGACACCAAACCTAAAGTGATGCCACCTCCTCTTAGAATGAGCAGACTGTTGCAACCTTGTCTGCCAGGTGGACTTTCCCTTACGATTCCTTGGGCTAACTCTTCCTCCACCCCCCACTCCACCCATCCACACGTCAGGCTTCTTTTCCTACTGTGGTCTTTAGACTTTTTTCTTGGCTGCAAGATTTTGGTTAGATTTATACTTAACTTTTTTTTTTTTTTTTTTTTTTTTTTTTTTCCTCTAAGAATTTTTTTTTTTTTTTTTTTTTTTTGATCTCCTCTAAGTCTAGCAGAGCTTGTTAGGAATGGGCCAAGACAGGGGAATACAAACATTCTTTCTATTTGGCCTCTGAGAAAAACAGTATCTTTTGTGTTTGTACTTGATTTACCTTTCAGATTATGCCTGATCTAGAATTTGTCTTCTTGAGAAAGAACTGCGCTGGGGAAACAGTAGTGGGACAGCATTTACTTCTGCCTCAGATTGCACTAAGGCAGCAGATGTTTGAGGGTGACTTAGGTTTCTTTCCCTAATGAAGACACATACCTGGGACAGGTCCTGACAGTGAGCCTGTCCTAGTGTTTGGGCTTTGGCAGTCTCCCACATGGCGTCTTGATCACTCAAGGCTAACAGTAAATTATGTGAGCATTTATTCACTTCTGCAAGGCTGCTCTCTGTCCTGGAGCCTGGTGGGGTCTCGGCAAGATCTGGTCTATGCATTTTATTCTGCCCAGCCCCTTTGATGTACGGGCTCTGTCCTTGGCTCTAGGCAGAGAATCAGTGCTTGGTTTCTTAATATGTTGGTCTTCACTCCGGTGACAAGTAAGACCCAAGTTACAAAGGCCCCTCTTGGTGCTTCTCTCTTCTCTTTCTTTGTCTCTAGCTCTTAATCTTCCTCTGAGATCTGCCACCCTCCTCTTCTGCCCTTTTTCTCTCCCCACCTGCTCCTTCCCTCTCTGTTCCTTTTTCTACCCCATCCAGTCCAGCACCCCCTGTTGATATCTGCCCACCTATCCCTTCCTTGGCCTTGCAGCTTGTTCTCCTTTCCTCTCTTTTACTTTCCTTTCCTCTCATTCTCTCCTGTGCTCGTGTTTTGCTGTCATCGCTTCGTCCCCTCACCAGGGTACAGTAGGAGCGTCATAGGTTGTTTTTTCTCCTCCTTTGCCTGTTAGAGGTCCCTCTGCTACACCCATACCATAAATAACACTCGAGCATCTGCCAAACACATTCCTCACTTGTGTTAATAGGCTGCAATGATGCTGGAGCCTGTTGCCATGGCAACCTCATTTTTGTTTGACTGTATCCCACTCTGCTGCATAAAGCCTCTGTGTGCACTCACACACAAACAAGCATGCTCCCACAACTATTACCCATGCTTGGCTGTCAAAGACTATTTTGGAGACAATGTCCTTGGGACCTGTGGGGGTGAGGTGTTCATTTGAGCCTGAAAAGATAGTCCCTTCTTCCTCCCTGAGATGCCTTAGAAGGGGATGTGGATGGACAAACTCTTTGGGAAGTAGGAACACTGTTCAAATGTGGGGTGTTTTTATTATGCAGCCACATTGAACCCGCGTGGCGTGGCTTCTGGGGAGAAGATTCTGACCCTGTGTGTGCCTCCAGGAGCTTACCATGTGGATGCCCATCCTGGTCGAACTGCATCTTCCTTTAGCTCCTCTTCCTTTCTTCTTTCCGGGCCCTTTGGGAGAAGCTTAGCTTGGTGGCTTCTTGCATTTCTTCTTTTGTGCCTGTTTGAACCCACAACTGTCACCAGTTGTTCCAGCCATCAGAATGGCACAGGCATTGTGTGGGTGATGTTCTGTGACTGAGCACATGTGAATGTCTGCCTCAAGGAAGTAAGGGGTGGGTGAGGTTGTAGGTCAGGAATGTAGTCCCATGACTACCCAGGGACAAGCATATGTGTGTGTGCCTGCCTGCCTGCTTGTCTGCCTGTCTGTCTGTCTGTCTGGTGCTGGGGTGGCTGGAAAGCCTTTCAGGAGAGATCCTTGCAGTGCTGACCTGCTTGTTTTGGGCTAGCTTCCAAGGGCCCTTGCCTTTCTCATTATTCTAATGATAACAAATTATCATTATTGACCTGAGCTCCTCAGGGAGTGCCCTGCTGGTGCAGCCCCTCTTCTTTTAATCACTGAGACTAGGGCTGGGCTTGAGCAATCTACTCCCTTGTCCCTGTGCTTCTGCAGCCTGTGTGTTCCACAGCACTGTAACACCTGCTGAGAAGCTGCCTGCTTGCTCTGGAACATGGCCCAGAGGCTTTCTGATGGGTCACCGTGGCCTCCCCAAGTAGGCTGCTGGGTCATGTGCAAGGGGACACACTTTTACTCTCCAGGCCCAGCATTGTCTGTCACCAGTAGCCTCTTCATCACCTGCATTTCTGTGAAAGGGCAATCTGGCCACAAGGGAAGCAAGCAGGCTGGAGTTGGGGTTGAGTTTAAATCTGGAGTAGAGGGGGATCTGCTTGCTGCATTTGCTGGCTATATTTCCTGATTAGTTTCGATTCTGTTTTCCTCTTCCAGGCAGCTAGGCCAGGGTACTTGGAAGGAGTAGAAGTGGATCCTGACAGGGGTTCCAGCGGACTTCTGGATTGGGGGTGGGGTTCTTTGCTAGGTCTTAGTGGGGAGGAGCCTGTTACTGACAACTCAGCTGAGGGTCAGAATGTTCCTGCAGTATTTACAGGGTTGCTCTCACTTCACAATTCAGCCTAAGTAAGAGCTCAGGTCTTTGGGCTGAGGAACAGCTCATGTCTGTCCTTGCAGAGGACACAACCTCTTCCCACCCTCACAAGTTGTCCTGTGTAGACAGGCCCTGGCCATGAGTTTCTGTGTCAAAGATGACAGTTGGCAGGAGACGAGGGCTGTGGCCCAGGCTTAGACCAGGCTACCTCCTCTCCCAAGAGATATGAATGGAACTGCCCCCATGGTTCTAGCCAAATGTGGGAGTGGCAGGTGGGGCAGGGAACCCCAGAAAGGAGTCTCCCTGGGCTTTGCCAGCTCCTAGCTGGGTGACTTCTGGTCCACAGGCCTGCATAGTTCCTCAGCTAACTTCATTTCTGTGGCAGGCCCAACATGTGATCACTTACTTTTCAGGAGTCTTGGGAATGGAAAGTTTGCTCAGGGAACTTCACCATGCTTGTTCCCATCAATCATTAGGGTGTAGTTATATAAGTGA